CGAGGGGGACCTCCTACGTTTTCGCAGTCCCCGGGGCACAGTGTATGAAATTCCATTGCGTGACCATCACACGTACTTAGGCATACGTATCTCCTACCATTCACAGGCCAAACAAGCAGTCACCTATCGGCTGCAGGCTGCGAACCAAGCCTGGCAAAGACTCCGTGGTGTACTGTGCTCCACCAGGCATCTTGCTCAGACGCATCGTCTCAGTCTATGGAAATCCACAGTGCTTCCCACGCTGCTCTATGGCATCGCAGCATCCAACCCAGGTGCCAAGGACATCCAGCGTATGCAGCACATGATGACCAAGCAGGTTCGAGCCATCACACGATCCTTTGCACATCTTCAGAAAGAGTCCACACAGGACCTTCTACACAGATGCACTCTGTCCACCATTTTGGAGCACCTACAGAGGGAAGCCGCTGCCTTGCATCGTAGCCTGTCTCGCCTAAGCACTGAAACGAGCTTTGTGACCCAAGCCCAGGTGGAATCAGCTCGAGACACTGCCGCTACACTTCACCTCAAAGTGCAACGCCAATGGCAGGTCCCTCTTGGGGACACAGAGGGCATAACAGATCCTGCTGTACATCAGTGCCAGGAATGTCATCGGGTCTTTACCTCCTTTCGGCTCCTCCGCTCTCACGAGGCTAAGTGGCATGGCCTCAAAACACCTGCTGCTGTCTCGGTGCCTTTTGACAGGTATGCACATGGAACAGAAGGACTCCCAACGTGCAGACACTGTGCCCATCCCTTTCGACAATGGGACGGCCTCGTCAAGCACATTAAACGTAATCGGTGTCAGGTACTCCGAAGACTTGCCACACAACCTCCTGCTGCTGCCCCACCCTTGGCTCCGAGTTCTGATGACTCCGATCCTGTACTAGTCCCTGATCCGGCTATTCTGCCACCTCAGGATCTCTCTCCGGAGACCCACATCCTGTCCAATGATCAGGCTGCTATGCCCCCGCCTACTCCTGCCGGCATACCTGAACCCCCTGTCTTGGATGCTCTCCTGCAGGATAGCTCCACTTCGCCGAGCCATGAGGCTGCTCCTCTCTATCAGCAATCTCATGTCCTTGAGACACTAAGTGCCCGCAGGTGGACTGACCTCCTTGTGAAATCGGAGACCTACTCGTATCTCCAGCACCACTGCCCGCTGTGTTACCAGTGGCTAGCCACCCCTACCAGCATCAAGTATCATCTCACCATGCAACATCCAGAGTGGAAAGAATGCCAACCTGCGACTCTCAAGCTTCTTACTGGTTTCCGCCGACATACTGTTGTACCATGTCGATACTGCCATCAGCGAAACATCAACAAAGATCGTCATTGGAAACAGTGTCATGTTTTGCATATTTGTGCCTTCCTAGCAGTGCACCATGACGCTCTGCGCGGATCCCATGGAGCTGGACGAGCAGGAGAAGCAATTTTGGGCCCATGCCGGTCCGGTCAAACGGGAACAGGAACCACGACGAGATGTGATGCATCAAACCGAGCAATCCAAGAGGCAGCGTCTGGCTCCGCAGGACCGGAACAAAGGCAAGGGCAAGGGTACCAAGGGCAAAGGCAAGGGAAAGCAGGGCCTACCAAGTCCATCCAGTGCCAACCAGGTCACGGGCTACACAAATGGTTTCGGAAGCCATCCACCCAATCCCTGGACACAGACTCAGGACCTGCAGCCACTGGGAAATCACGATCCAGACTGGATGGAGTACAGGATGAATCGACTATCCCAGCTGGTCCTTCGTCAGGAGCAAATCATCTCAGCCATCCGTCAGGATCTGGTCCTCTACCTCTTTGTACGATCAGGGCCAGAAGGGATGGTACCGGTTCTCTGCGAAGCAGCGGAGAAGTGGAGGAAGATGAAAGAGGAAGAACCCGAGAAGATTACTTACTCCCTCAAACTCATGCTCTTCAAGCAGCTGCTCATCACCCTACACCAGAGGTTGACCAACATGATTGCGGACGAGGATGCTCTCGCCAAAGCCAAGAACCTGAACTGGATCGACGATCAGAAACATTGGAAACATCTTACATGGAATCCAACCAAACAATGTCTGGAAGTCGACAACTCGGTGAGGCCAATACCGGCGGAAGATCTGTTGGCCCAACTGGTTCAGATGAGGAAGGCTGTTACGGAAGAGACCCTGGTGAGGTTCAAGTCCATGAGGAAGCTCACCACGGAGGTGACCTCCGACTGGATTCAATTCCAGATCTGCATGTCCCTTCGCCCAGAGGGAGGAGCCATGTGGAGCACGCTGAACCAGTGGATCGGACAAGCATCGTGGCACACCCTGGGCTGCAGGCTTCGCCGCGATCGACCGAACTACGACACCCTGGTCCAGGAAGTGTGGCAACATCAGATGCCATACTGAGTGTGCGCCCTAGTCTCAAGGCTGTCCTTCGATTGATTTTCCACAATCCTTCAAACTTGTGCTACCTACACTCTACGATCTATGCACTATTGTGGACAATCCTTCAGGCTAGGCTGCATGATGCCTACGTTTCGCCTCCACCGCAGGCTCTTACCATGTTGTGTCCACCAATCACTGCCACACCCAACTGCCCCATTCAGGTACTCCACTCGGTACCGTGGCTTATGCTGCTGCAAGCTTGGCCTTCTGTGCATCGTCAGCACGATGCAGCTGAACTGTTACAATATCTTCTACCCAGGTTCTCGCATAGTGGGTTCAATGGTGGCTGGGAGGCCCGAAACTTTGTGCCTGGAGGTATTGCCACTCTTGACAAGGGGCCTACTCAAGCTCCCATTCCGATTGCGCTGCCGGTAGGTCCAAGCCTGGAGCTTCAGGCAGCCATTGATGGGTGGAGTGCTCAGGTTACAGCTCGTTATGCACTGCTGACTCCGTCTTCCATGCTCTGCATACAACTTCAGCGCTTCACAAACGCCGAGGGAGTCATGCGCAGGGACACCAGACCACTGGTTGTGGCCTCGACTACTGTTCGTATGCCACTCTTTACAGGTCTGCACACAATGCAAGTTCGCTATGTCCACTACCAGGTCGTCGCTGTACAGCTTCACTACGGGGCCACTCCTGATATGGGGCATTACAGAACTATCTTACGAGGACAACCGCTGTTTGGAGCAGAAAAGTGGTGGATCACTGATGACTCCTGCATCGCAAAGCCAGTCAGTACAGAACACGATGACAACATATATATAGTGTGGCTACGTCAGGTACTACCTCCTGGTGCCTGATGCTGAGCAAGTGTAGTCTTAGTCGATGGAGCTGGCACTGCCCTCCAGAACCCAAAAAGAGGTTCCAGCCACCGGAACACCCGGTTGCTGTCTGCTCGCTAGGCGAACCCGGACACTTCGCTGCGTGGTGAATGAATGAATGCTACTGCTGCTGCTCCTGCTCCTGCTGCAGCTACTGCTACTACTACTGCTGCTGCTACTGCTACTGCGACTGCTACTGCTTTTGCTACTACTGCTACTGCGACTGCTACTGCTGCTGCTACAACAACAACAGCTACTACTACCACTACTACGACGGCCACAGCGACTGGGACTGCGACTCCGACGACGAAATACTATTATGACTACTACCGTGACGACGACGACATCTACTAGTGCCACCAACCGCCACTCCCACTCCCCCTCCCACTCCTCCTTCTATTCCTACTGCTGCTGCTGCTGCTGCCAATGCTGCAGTGCCACTTCTGCAGCTGCTGCTACGATGGGCTACTCTCCCTACGACTCCACGTCTAAAGCACACCCTAACTCTTACTCTGAGGACCAGGGCTTCGGAAGATCTTGGCATCGGTCGGATCACAGGATCGCGCCTTGCGTGATCCCGAAAGGCAAGTACATCGTCACTGGCCCGACGTGGAGGCTCATGGACAAGCAGGCCGGGCTTGCTTGGGAAGACCCCGCAGGCGAAGGTTTCCTAGCTTCTGGTACAAAGCGACATGAGCGTTCTGTCCTCAGGAGAAATGCTTTCTACAGGGTGTTGGACCGGAGGAAATAAGTGCTTACCGAATGGAAGAGCTGCTGACTGAAACGCAGCTGAATGATATGGCAGCGAGGTTGTTCAGTAGCATATTTGTTTTTTCTGTTGTGTTTCTGGGTTCCTGTCTGAATTCAACTAGGTACCTAGCAGGCAGGAGTATTTACTTTGCCCGGTTACTGAACAGCCCAGGTCGGGAATGCGCCGGGAGCCCAGGTTGTATGCTTCGCACGAGCCAATGTGTTCCGATGCAGCAGAAGGCTTCGTCTGTGTTGGTTGGGACCACTGCTAAAAGCTGTTGCAAGGTTCACCGCGCAGATTTGTTTGGCAGCACTCCTCTCTTTCTTGGTTTGCTGGAACCCGGGGGCGGCCCCGGATGCAGAGAACACACAGCAGACGGCTTGAAAGTCCAAGTGCACAAAGACTGCACGCACAGCATCATGTCACAATCTTTGGTAGGTTTCCTTCCAGTCCAACTTGGACCTAATTCATTGCAGGGCCCGTAATTCAGAATTCTGCTGATAGGAGCCGTGCTTCGGCTGCTGACGCAAACTGCGTTGTCTGCAAAGCGGTGTGAAGCCAAGCCGTTGGCGGTGCAACTGTGCAAGCACAGCTTACTGTCGAGCCATCTCATGTTTTTGATGAGGTCATGCACGCGTACGCACTCGCACACACACACACAAACACACGTGACACAGCATCTACTGACAGTCAATTACCCTTCGGCTGTATACGTGAAGAGAGACAACATGCAAGCACGTGGCCAGCCTGCAAGTATGTACATTGCACGAGTACTGTAGATAAGCGAGCTCTCCATCGTACAGTAGCAAGAAATACTATGTACATGCGAGACGTCACCGGGTACAAACGATAGCAAGCTACCGAGATGTGAGTACACATTCATCGGGTGACAGACGCAGAAAAACACACGAGCAGACAGGGACTCAAGCGTCTGATAATCATCGCCTGGAAGCCGTTGGCAAAGTAGGAGCCCGTCAGACTACAAAGATTAGTCTTGTGAGCTGCAAGATGCCGCGGGTGGGAGGAAGCGCCTTTGCCCCAGGATGTCCAGACCCAATTTGCCCGACCCTCACTTCTGCGGAGGTCGTGTCGGCTCCTGCTCCTGCAGCCGTCGGCGACACAAAGGAAGTCTCCTCCCCAAAGCGAAGAAGGACCGCGGCAGGGAAGGACAACCTCAAGACGAAAAGCCTTCAGCAGGTGTGGAGCCCAGACTGTAGATGTACATGCGAACATCTCCATGTCTAGTTAAGCTCCGAAGTGGGTGACGCTGCAGGATGTGCTGACTGCACCACTGTCGCATGATCTGTTAAGGTAGATGCACAGGAGGGTGTTGACGCACCTGCAGCATCGCCAGTCTCCAAGCGTAAAAAAGCCAAGTGAGAGCCCCAGAGTGGCCAAGAGATCGCCTGAGACTGCAGTCGGTGCGACGCAGAGGCGTTGATATTCTGTTTGATTGTCCTTGGCTTCTCCGGTTAAGTCTCCCATCAACAATTCGACCGAGCCCTTGTGACCCTTGTGTTATTCATCCACCGAGGAAGGACAAGGAGCCGAAGGAGCCTCCGAAGGAGCTCCCGGAGCCGAAAGAGAAGCCGGAGGAGGAGGAGGCACAGGCGGACCCCCTTTTTTCACCAACAGCGTAAGCTCTGGGGTCTTTAGCCGAAATAAGGTTTGGGGCAGATTGGGGCGAGGCCTGGGGCAAGTTCCGGGGCAGGTTCCGGCAGGTTGCGGGGAGGTTCCGGGCAGGTTCCGGCGAGGTTCCGGGGCAGGTTCCGGTGATGTTGCGGGGCAGGTTCCGGGGGAGGTTCCGGCCGGTTCCGGCGAGGCAGGTTCCGGCAGGTTCCGGAGCGGTTCCGGGCAGGTTGCGGCGAGGTTCCGGAGCAAGTTCTGGTGATGTTGCGGGGCAAGTTCCGGGGGGAGGTTCCGGAAAGGTTCCGGGGCAGGTTCCGGGGAGGTTCCGGGCAGGTTCTGGCGAGGTTCCGAAACAATTTCGGGTGATGTTGCGGGGGAAGGTCGGGGCAGGTTCCGGCAGGTTCCGGAGCGGTTCCGGGGCAGGTTCCGGTGAGGTTCCGAAGCAAGTTCCGGTGAGGTTGCGGGGCAAGTTCCGGTAGAGCTTCCGGCAGGTTCCGGAGCGGTACCGAAAATCCTGCTGCACATGCTTTACTTTCGTCTCCAACAGCCCCAATACATTGTCCGAGATTCGAAAACCGAATTTTGCAGCTTTCTCAGCCTTGCTAATGCCCCTCCTGGTCCCAGTCCCGGGCTGTAATTCAGCTCCGAAGCTTCAGACCGAGCCCAAATGGATTTCCCGAGGCTTGCTAAACGCATTAGGCCTGCATTGCAGCAGTGCTCAACCTCCATGCCGTCGCTAAACCCGAAAATCCTGCTGCACACGCTTTACTTTGGTATCCAACGGCCCCAGATGCATTGTCCAAGCCTTGAAAATCGCATTTTACAGCTTTCTTAGCCTTGCGAATGCTCCTTCTGGTCCCAGTCCCGGGCTGTAATTCAGCTCCGGAAGCTTCAAACCGAGCCCAAATGCATTTCCCGAGACCTGGTAGACGCATTTGGCCTGCGTCGCATTTAGCCTGCGCTAATCCTCAATGCCGTCGCTAAACCCGAAAATCTTGCTGCACACGCTCTGCTTTGGTCTCCAACAGTCCAAACGCATTTTTCGAGCCTTCAAAAGCACATTTTACAGCTTTCTTAGCCTTGGTAATGCCCCTCTTTGTCCCACTCCCGGGCTGGAATTCAGCTCCCGAAGCTTCAGACCGAGCCCAAATGCATTTCCCGAGGCTTGCTAAACGCATTAGGCCTGCATTGCAGCAGTGCTCAACCTCCGTGCCGTCGCTAAACCTGAAAATTCTGCTGCACACACTTACTTTGGTATCCGACGGCCCCAAATGCATTGTCCAAGCTTTGAAAACCGCATTTTACAACTTTCTCAGCCTTGCTAATGCCCCTCCTGCTCCCAGTCCCGGGCTGTAATTCAGCTCCGAAGCTTCAGAGCGAGCCCAAATGGATTTCCCGAGCCTTGCTAAACGCATTTGGCCTGCGTTGCAGCAGATCTGGACTACCATGCGCTCCCTAAACCCGAATATCCTACTGCACGCGTTTACCTTAAGCGAATCAGAAGCTTTTGTTCAATGCCTGCATCTACAGCTCTATGAGCTTTTCTGGCACCCGTTCATGTGAGCCCGACTACAGCCATTCCGCTGTTGGGGTTATTCAATGGGATTATTTGTAGAAGGCGCCTTTCAGTTGTTTTGGATGTTTTTGGATCTTGCGACCTCTCCGCTTTACCTTTTTCAGGTTTTTGATCTTTTTGGATCTTGCGATCTCCGCTTAGCGTCCCGCTCAGGAACCCCTGCCCCCGCCGGACCCCTTCGACGAAGGGCTGGAAGCGCATCTGGAAGGCTCCGGGACGGGACTTTCCAGCGGCAGGAATCAAGGAGCTTTGGGGCTTTTCGTGCAGTCAGACAGGTGACATGACCGTGCGAGTTTCTGCGCAATGCTGACCTGTGTCTGTAGTGGTTAGGCCCGGAATGCAAAGCGCTTCTTTCTCTCGAAGCCCGCAGGCTTGGTGGACACGGCAGAAGAACTGCCGGCCCCCAAAATTGAGGCATCGGGGGCTGGATCTTGCGACACTGCAACGGGGCTAGTGCTGCAGTAGCATGCCCCCAATTCTCGCAGCTTGATAACATCGGCATTGTCCTGATTTGCGAGATGCTTACATGCATCGGCTAAGTAGCCATGCTTGGGCAGGTGTCTCAAGATAGTTTGAGGCTCAGAATTGTTGCCAGCATCGTCTTGCAGCAATGTCCAACATGCACAGTTTCAGCAAGTGCTGAAACATGTTGGGTAGTCGGAATCCTCTAAAGCTCACGCTGTAGCGATGTAGATGTGAAGCGAAATGACCAACGGGCAAATCCGGGGCGCACGTGACCCAGGACAAACAGAAGCTCTGAAGGTGGGAGAAGACGTGACTGCAACATTGGCGAACCTCATGGTGTCAATGCGTGTCCTTGCGTTTTCATTGCTGCACACTGTGCCGGATTGCAGTGCAGCCTGCGGCTGCCTTCGTGTACCGTTTTTCCGCCGTTCAGGATGCGGTTGCGGAGGGTGCCTGGTTCTCTTCTGAGACGTTTGAAGACCTCCTTCCGGAGCGGTACAGGCATGGCAGGGTGGGCACAGATGTTTTCAAGACCGGGTGCTGAGACAGCAGCCCTATGAAGCTTCGGCTGATCTGTCAGGGAGAGCTTGGGCAGCCCCCATCAAGATCTCATCGAGCTTGTCATGAGCTCCGGGCTCAAGCATCACTGTGTCATCCCTGCGGTAGTCTGGTGCTGTTCAGGCTCTCACACCTGGTGGCGGCCTGGTTTGCGATCTTTGGTCAGTATCTCGGATTTGTGGCTGCACACCTGGCACCAAGTATCAATGGGCGACAGGTGAAGAATCTGGCTGATCTGAATCAGGCTCCCTCTGCTGTGCTTCGTTGCGACATGTTGGAAGCATTCAGATGGATCAAAGCACTCGGATCTCTGCAGGTTGCTTTTTCAGAGTTTCCCCCTTGGGACGTGTTAGTTTCAATTCTTGTCATTGCATCGGAGACCAGCAGAGGCGCGCATGTAGCATGTTAAGTACATGTTCGCATTGGGCAAACCACTGATCGCGTGTTTAGTGAGCTTGGGTAGCAATCCATTCAAAGAAATGGAGTACATGCTGCCCGATTTGCAACTGCAGCAATCTCAATCCGGAGGACCCTGCTGAGTTTCGGAAGCTGTTGCCATCGCAGTGATCTTGTCCATAGATTGAACATGCTTCGTGTGGTTTAGATGCAAAACCCTCGAGTTCCTTGGGAGGATTTTGCCATCGCCTGGTGTGCTTCTTGTGCCTGCTGGCATCCGGGCTGGCATTGGCCGTGACTCTGTGGACCAGAGACAAGGAGGTGTGCTTGCATGGAGATTTCAGAGGGCAGCTTTCGCGTTTCGGGTTCCCTGAAAGGAGAGACCGGCTTACACAAAGTTCTCCTTGGAGTCCACTGTGAGCGGCCTTTGCTTTCTCATTTGTGCCGCGTCGTCTACAATGCTTACCTCTGAGCAAGCGAAGACATGGCTGTCCTTGGCCTCCTGCGGAAGCAGTTTCGTGGTCTTGCTTGTCCCGAAGGCAGCGAAGGCAATGACGACCCGATCCGGTATGTCACAACATGAAATCCGAAGTGTGCGAAGCGCCAGCCAAGTCAGAGAGATTGATTTTAATCTGTCTGACGACGTGGGTGCTGTACAGCCGAAACTTCGCACGAAGAGGGCATCCAAGCTGCGGCACTTTGAATCGACACTGCAGGTCATCCACGAGAACTCCACATTTGCCATCAAATCAATCGGAAGCAAGGATGTGTCGCAGGTTTCTCCGGAGAAGATTGTCCAGATCATTCCTGCAGTTTACTCGCTGGCCTCACAACGCAAGAAGTGGGCAAAGCGGCCAGATGAAACATGGGGCAAATTTCTGACCAAGCTGGATACGATTCTGGCTGGAGCAAAGCCAAATCCGCCAAGCCTGATGCCATCGGAGGCTTGGTACGAGATCAGCCGCTGGTGTGCTCGTCACTCGCCGCAGGAGCTTCAGTCCATCGTTGAGACTGCGATCAAGTTGCACCGGGCGCCTGGAGAGGATGTGGTGTGGAAGCTTGGAAGGACAGGGAGAGCTTTTCCTTGCTGTTACTCACAAAAAACTAAATCTTCCTCAGTTCCGTTCGCAGGATGCTGGATGCAACATTGGACGTGGCTCATGCTGAGGGTGATAAGTTAGTGTGACTGCATTTCGTTTTCGTTGTCAGCCCGGTCTGCCTTTAAAAGGCCGGGCTGAGCTCGTTCAGAGATCTTGATGAGGGTTTCGTGACGGCACCAGATAGGTGCACCGGTACACCGTTGAGGTGCACTGCCAGAACCCCGAGAAATGGCGCATGGCGCCTATTTTTGAACTAATTCAATCAGGCAGGGTAAGAAGGCACCTCGCGCGGTTTTCCCAAGTTCTCAGACCGGTCGCATGTGGTGATGCGCAGTGCCTTTCGCAGCCTGCAATATCCTCGTCTAAGAGAGTTTTTCGCTACTGGACACCGCGGTCGTTTAGCCCGGCACCAGTGCCCCGCAGCAGCGTTTCAAGTGCATGACTCAAATTCAGTACACAGCGAAACGTGAAGGTTTCGCTTCAAATTCCATTTTCGCTTGCATTGGTCTGATGCCTGTTCAGCCGTTCAGTTCAGCCCAGCCGCTTCAACCACCGCCGATTACTGCTGAAGATTGTAAAGTGTAGTCTGCACGCTGGCTAGCCGAGGCTGACAGATGTCCTACCGACCGTGGTCTAGGATTCCTGTGGAACTGGTAGATACGCTAAGACCGACCAGTTGCGTACAGACTTATTCAGGCTCAGGACCGATGCTGCATGATGCTTTGGAGAAGAGCGCACTGGCCCGCTGGCGATCGCTGACTGCATGCGCCCATGTCTGCTGGGATGCATGAGACTTGGGCAATTCGCTGCCTTGACCTTGACAGGTTACCAAGTCTGAGCTGCCGAAGAAGATGGATGCTCTGGTGCGAGTGCGTTCAAGACTATTTGAATTGGATGTCTCCTCTGCAGGGATTTTTTTTACTGATGAACCCGGGTGAAGCAACGTGGCAGGATGCAGAGAAGCTGGCCGAATTGCTGATGCGCATGCAGGCAGAGCCTTTCTCAGACTTGCGGTCACTGCATGTGCCTTGTCCTGCCAAAAGAGAAGACCTGTTCTATCGAATGCATGGCAATTCGGCTGCAGCGCGGTTTGGATCCCTGGTTCCTTGAAACACTGCAGAGAGCCACGTTGTGTAGTCTCTGGTCCCCGTGCAGGCCGCCGTGGAGAAGCCACTTTATTCGTTTTCGGATCACTTGAAGCCTGCGTTGGCTCGACGAGTGTTGGCCCAAGATAGTTTTTGGCGTTGGTTTGGTTAGAGGCTCTGTTTTCCTTTGCCTGCCTCCGTCTCTTTTGTCCATCTGTCTTCTTGTCTGGCTCTCTCTCTCTCTCTCTCTCTCTCGCTCTCTCTGTCTCTCTGTCTCTCTGTCTCTCCGTCTCCACGTCTCTCTGTCTCTCTGTCTTTCTGTTTCTGCGTCTCCCTGTCTATCCGTCTCTCTGTCTCTGTGTCTCTTTGTTTCTCTGTCTCTCCGTCTCTCCGTCTCTCTGTCTCTCCGTCTCTCCGTCTCTCCGTCTCTCCGTCTCTCCGTCTCTCTGTCTCTCTGTCTCTCTGTCTGTGCATCTGTCTGTCTGTCTCTCTCTCTCTGGCTCTCGCTCTCGCTCTCGCTCGCTCTGGCTCGCACCTGCAGCATGTCGTACGTACGTCTTGTGCTGACGCGAGCTGGAGTAACCTCGCAGATCCATGTCGGCACCATGGACTACATGGGTGGGTCGCACGAGTCATACCGACGGACGCCGGCTGCTCACGTTGTGTTTTGGAGCTCTTGCAATTTCTATGGACTGCTTTTCCAAGGTTCGAGTTCATTGAGATGACTAACACGTGGCACGATGTGGACAAACCAACCCGTGACATCGGCGACCTGTACAGGTGATCCAGCTTACGGCATGAGCTCATGACAACTGACCCTGCGCAAGGAAGAAGCTGAATTGCTCGTACAAGGATCCTGCCATGTACAAGGCCGGCACGTGGCGAATTCTGATGAATTCTGTTGCTGGTGCCTGGGGGGTTGCGGGGTAGTGAGTTTGCTGCCGAGGCCTTGGCTGCCCGTGCAGCAGACAAGCGAGACTCCTTCCGAATGGTGGTGAAGGCAAGAGTGGTTCAGAAGTTGTTTTGGAACCGTCCATGTTCGCCAACCCAGCTGGCACGACAAGCTTTTTCTCGTCAGGTGAGCTGTGTGGCCACCCACCTCACGAAGCTGCAGAATGTTCTGGACCGACAGGGCAGCCTGCAAGAAGTGCGCCTCACATTTCAATCAGGCATCTTTGCTACAGCTGGTGTCAAATCTAGAAGCGGCAGACATCTGGTAACCCGCTGTCAGCGTAAGAACCCGTGCAGTCCTCCCCTGACATGAACGCACGGACTGTCAAGATCATATTCCAGCTTATAGGTCAGATCGCAGAGAGACGTAGGAACCGGAAGCAGGAGTGGTGGCCTCCGTTGTGGCAAGTCGGTGGCTCAGGAGACCATAAAACTTCTGCTGAAGCTGCTGCTACTGCTACTGCTACTGCTACTGCTACTGCTACTGCTACTGCTACTGCTACTGCTACTGCTACTGCTACTGCTACTGCTACTGCTACTGCTACTGCTACTGCTACTGCTACTGCTACTGCTACTGCTACTGCTACTGCTACTGCTACTGCTACTGCTACTGCTACTGCTACTGCTACTGCTACTGCTACTGCTACTGCTACTGCTACTGCTACTGCTACTGCTACTGCTACTGCTACTGCTACTGCTACTGCTACGAGCTACTACTACCACTACTACTACGACCACCACCACTATTACTACTACTACTACTACTACTGCTACAACTACTACTACTACTACTACGACTACGACTACGACTCCGACTCCGAGTGCGACTGCGACTACGACTACGACTACTTCTACAACTACTACCACAACTTCTACTTCTACTTCTTCTTCTACTACTACTACTACTACCTCGATTGCTGCTGCTACAACAACAGTACTACTACAAGTACTACTACTACTACTACTGCTGCTGCTACGTACTACTACTACTACTACTACTACTAGCACTAGCACTAGCGCTGGTACTATTTACTATTACTAGCACTAGTACTAGCGCAAGCACTAGAACTCGAACAGGAACTCGAACTAGTACTAGTACTAGTACTAGTACTGGTACTAGTACTAGTACTAGTACTAGTACTAGTCCTAGTACTAGTCCTAGTCCTAGTGCTAGTGCTAGTGCTAGTGCTAGTACCAGTACTAGTACTAGTACTCGCTAGTAGGCCCTGGCCCTGAAGAAAACACGGCTGTTGGGCGCAGGATGGTGCAGTCCATGCCCTTCATTGTTGTGCAATTGCTCTCCAGCACCAGCCTAGTGTCGCCTCCATTGTTGAGTGGCAGCCCAGTCCGTACCTGCGGTCCGACACTCAGTGCCTTTTGCCGCATCATGCATCCGCTTCCACATGAGCTCAGGCTCCACATCGCCCGTGCGGTCAGGACTGACCCCAGGCTTCGAGTTCCAGATTTGAGGTGCCGGCTTCTACTTTTGCACCGGATGAACATGCATCCACTGTTCAGTTGAGCCTCACATGCATCGGCCATGTCATAAGCTCCTCTTCGGTTTTGGAATTGATTTTGGCCAGCAGGGATGTACGAAGCTTGCGATTTAGTGTGAGCCGCCTTGCTAGTCTCTCATTCCACCATTGCTCTGACTACGAGCCCATCTGTGTCAGCTCCCGAGCCCAGTGCTCTGCTGCCCCATGGTGGTTGCCTCAGCTCCCGGCTCCTTCATACTTCAGCCGCCTCCCGTCTTCTCTACTCCTCAATGTCAAGCTCGTGGCCCGTACAGCTGGCCCGACACCAACACTCCAGGACAGTGCCTGGGATTATTGCATTTGCCTCAAGTGCTCTGACATGGCTTGAAGGTGCCCAGCCTCTGGCCACACAATCCGAATCCGTCACATGGTCCCAGCCTCAAATGCTTTCCTCTGCTTTCGAGCAGGCGTGATCGCATATGCGACCACCAGCCTCATATGCCGCATGTGCACGTGCCCCACCGCACTGCCCCGGACTATTTCGAGCTCAGGATGCGAGCCACTCCACGTCGGATGTTCTGGGTCGGCCCTCGCTTCCGAAACTTCCTGCCGTGCCAGTCAAGAAACGCCGGCGCCTACAACCAAGCCAAGCAGAGCGCTCGCGAGCGACGAGGTCTACGTGAACGAGCAGCGGCAGAGGGTGTAACGCATATGCTCGCTACTGCGACTGCATCTAGCCCGCCGTTGACAGTGAACTCGGCAAGCAGACCCAAGGTACATGCAGTCGAAAGCGACAGCAAGTACGAGGAGGTAGCAGACTTTGCCCTCTTCCTCCTCAGCCACACGCCAGGATGGAAGTCATACAGACGTCACTGTGGACCATGCAGAGACGCCCTGCCGGGCAGGACATGGTGAGCCAGGATACGCTGCATCAGCGGTGGGCGATGCAGCCGATGCGTCCTCCAAAGCGCAGTCCGGTGACACAGGGCGCCCAATCCGGGTTCAGCAGCGATGAGGTCAAGGTGGCCATCGGCATTGCTGATGTGAGTGAACTTGCCCACCCGATCACGATGGTGTCCCAGCTTCAGTGAAGTGAGAGGGATCAGCAGAGGTCGCGTCGAGGGAATACACAGTGTCATGGGGCCCTGGGTCTGAGCGTAGGAGCGAGCCTCTTAGTGCCATTGGCTCCTATATTCCCCCGCTGCAGTCCGTCAGGATCTCTCCCAAGACGCGGTCAACCGACTGCTGTGGCAAATCTGGAGCCCACCGCTCACTGCCTAGCTTCAAAACTCATCCTTGACACGAAGACACCCAAACTGCGAAGGCGATGGCACGCTGGCAGAGAACTTCACAGGCCCTGGAGCCAGGAGTGGCGAACCTTGTTCCAGACACAAAGCAGAGTCTGGTGAGCTCGGGACACCTCGCTCATCGTGCTGTGCCATGCACGATGTTACGCAGTAGCATCTGCCAGGGTCAGCTCCTTGTTCTCCTGTCAAGTTGGCCACTGCCCATCCAGACCCCCATCCCAGACTCACATGCGGGGAGGCGTACGTACAAGCCCATCGTACACTGGCGCCAGTTTGTACTCTGGTTCGCAGGGCAAGCACAGCCCCGCCTTTGGTACTCCTGGCCAACTCACTGCTTCTTGGATTCTTGTTGCAAAGGTGTGCCTCAAGCATTGGCAGCAGACCAACATCCTTATACACGGCAGCTTCATTCCCAGGAAAGCATTTGGCTCAGGGTCGGCCACACATCCAGCTACACGAGACGAAGCGCTTTATTTGCAGGTGGCGCTCCCAGCTCCATCATGGGCTGAAAAAGCTTGGCAAATTCGCTGTCAGTGGGAGACCTGTTGGCCTCATCGGCCTTGCGTGCTCATGTCTGCATCACTTTGGCCAGGCTCACGGGGCCCTGCATCGTCAAACCACAAGCTCTTGCAGGCGTGCGTGTACATTACACACGACACGATGACTAACGCCCTTCTGCCTGCAGGTATGCTCCCAACACTGGCGCGGCCTAGACTAGTCGGCGGCCTTTAGCTTTGCAGGACCGAGCCGTCCTGATGACCTTTTTCTCTTCCTCGTTGTCAGGTGTGTGCCCAGCAATGGCCCAAACGCAACTCTGACTGGAAGCCTTTCCGCCGTCAATTGCCTCCAGGTGATATGCTGCACGTACTCTGCCATCGCAGAGTGAGAAGGCGCCCGAGAACCCATGCTTTGTACTTCTTTGCGGCTTGCCTGCAGGTCAATGTCTACTCTTGCCTCCCACAAAAACTTAGAGACTTAGAATGACCTGTGGCTGCGATGTTGAACCGGGGGTTGAGAGTGTTGGCGGAACACAGGCGTGACATGAAATGACCCACACCAATTCGTTTGCCTTCGTCAAAGGCCGAAGCACACTCGACGTATCATTTCGTGCCCAAGCTCACTGTCAGAGCGTGCTTCACCAACGTCAGCCACATCGCTGGTCCGTCCGAGAGGCCAGGGCTGGATTGCCGAGGCCCAAGCAGCAGGCCGGTGGCATTCAATTCGCTCGATCTCAGTTCTGCCTTCGTGCTGCCTCCCGGAGGATCTCCGAGCACACATCCTGGAGTGGTGCCGAGACCTTGAATATCGAGGATTGAGGCAAGGCCGCCAAATTGCGCCACGCGTCTGGTCCCTGGTGACTAAATCAGCTCGTGGTTGATACAGATGTCATGTGGGTCTCCAGGGATGTTAGCACATGTTATGCTGATGACTTCCGTGCTGCCCACTTGAGTAGCGTTCTTTTTGGCCGTGTCTACGCGATATAAGGAGGTCTTGTATGCGCCGCGGGTAGTCGCCAGTGATATAAGAACAGCCCGAACCACCAAAAAAAACACTGCTCACTTGGCCTTCGCCCTAGCATGATCTTCAGCTCTCAGAGGCCCGTCTTGGCACTCTTCTTGACGTCTTAGCTCAGGCAGAAATGACCACCTCCAAAAAGTCTGCGGTTCTCTATCTGTTTAAAGTGGAAGCGCGTTACTGGCTAAGACAGCACTTACGCCACGGGGACTGGTCCGCTCTTCCGACTTCGCACCCGGCAGGACGTATATTCGACCTGCATGGTGGATGGCCGCCCTATCCAGGCAGCAATATCAGCAACGTGGAACCCAGCTGCAATATCGACTTCAGCTTGCCGCAATTGCCAGGGTCGAATGGAGCTGCCTACGGGAAACCGTTTGTTCTTGGCGGGGACTCTTCCTTATAAGGACAAGATACATATTTGGCATTCTAGCATTCCCCCACGCTTCTTTACGAATCAGGTCTGCCTCAGGTCTGCCTGCTGGTGGGGTACAGATGATTCGCACTCTCTTCTACAAGCATCTCAGGGCCATCTTGAGGTGTCCGGCGCACCTCAGACATGTCACCAACAGCGAGGTTCTGCGGAGAGCCAACATTCCCGATGTATGCCAGATGCTCCAGCAGGACATGTACAGGTTACAGGCCAGTCTTCAAGAGTGGCTATGTTGAATACCTCGTCGACTGATGATTTGGCCACCGCCTCTCTTCAAGCTGAGGCCACCTACGACTGTCGTTACTGTTTTGTTTGCCACTCGTTGCCTGCTCAGATCACACGAATCCAGGCAGCATCCTGCGCACGACCGCTGGTAGTGGTCCGACACTTTGTCGTTTTGTTGGCCACAGCGGCGATAGTCTGCCCGCTCGCTGCCCACGTGCAGTCTGCGCTTACCTCCCTTTAGTAAATGGGGTAACCGTCGAAAACACAATACACGTGGTCAGTGCCCAAACTGGGCTCTCCCATTGTCCCTCTGCGCAACCCGTCCCGGGTGGGCCGGCTCGCACGCCTGACGCTTGCATCTACTTCACCAGGCCAGTCTAGCTGGTCTCCTCTGCCAGTGCCGGTGTCCGGTACCTTCTCCACTTCTGCCCTACCGCTGCGTTCACGGCCTCA